GAAGCCTCTCACCACATGATGAGCTTTTTTAAAGACCTGATGCCCCATCTATGTACTTCAGTTTGCCCTTACCTCCACAAACATGTAAATAGTCCACCTCAGGACTATGCCTCCATCTGACCTTTAACTTTTTAGAATTTGCATTACCCAAGACCAGCATGTAGGCGATAAATTGCTGACTATACATTTCCAGAGAGATAAAGAGAGAGAATCGATAATGTAAAGTTTAAGATTAGATGGTAAATGGTCACATTTTTATATAGCGCTTTTCCACTATCAAGGTACTCAAAGCGCTTTACATGAAGGAACCACTCATCCATTCACACACACATTCATACACTAGTGTACACAGACGCTGGGGGCGAGGTGAGGTAAAGTGTCTTGCCCAAGGACACAACAACAGCATTTATCTGTGGGAGATGGAATCGCACCACCATCCTATGAGACAGTGGAGATGACTGCTCAACCAATTATGTTTTTTTTTTGTGTTTTTTATTTCGAGAGTGGTCCGGATCAGTGGACAATCTCTATACCAACTGAGGTACTGAACAACTTATTAATAAGTTCTGAATTCACAAACATCATGACTCTGGAAACAAGAAATGTAGGACCATTATGCAAACCTAGTACAGATTGACAGCAAGTAATAAGGCTCCCACAAAGCTCTGGGAATACCTAGGCCGGCAAGGCTTTGCAAGTGCTGACTATTGCTGTGAGTGTATACAAAACACTACTAGCCTGGAAGATGTTAATCAATCTTTGGCTCTGAAATGAAATGCTTTCCTAGTTGTACATTAGCACTGGGTGTGTTGCTGTAGTTACACAGAGCCACTTGTCCAAAGTGCTGTTTTCAAGTCAATTTTTCTGGAGGACAATAGCTCCTTTATCTTGGAGAGGCAGACAGTGAAGTGTGGCAGCGGCTGGGACAGAGCTGGGAGAGAGGAGGGATGGAGAGAAAGGAGAAGGAGGGTATAAAACAGTTGGACACCAGGTCTTTCCAAAACAGCAGATCAAGGAATGTGTGCCGAAGGTGTCACATAGCTCCAAATATTTGTTGACCGGTCGACGTGGCAACAGGACATCCAGCTCTGCATAAATTAATCCATTACAGGACCCTGGCAAATTCACCCCACGCCAAATACTGAGATCTGGGATGAAGGATATGATTTATTTGGGATGGAGAACAATTTGTTTCAGAAAAAGATAGAAGAAAGAAACACAATGAGTATCAGTTTTGTTTTGACCTTGAAAGATGGCAAACTCAATTATAGCCTGATTTGATGCTTGACTTTGATGCTTTGATCGGTGCCCTTATCCACTCCAATGATAAATCAAGTGATAAATATAAAATTAAGCTTTTTTAGTTTTAGACAAACAAGTGGAGTCATTGAATGAGTTAAGATATTGCTGAATTTTGTACATCTACCACAAGCTTGTTTAAGGGGTTGGGTGTAAGTCAGGATCATTTAATGCTTTATTATGGCTGATTATGATAGATTCCAGTACACAACTGTAATAAAAATAATACATGGAAATGAAACCAAGCAAGAATAGACAGTAGTAGAGTAGTAGAGTTGTATGTATGGAAAACTCATATACTAATCGATACAAAAATTAGTATCAAAATTCAATACAAGTTAGAGGAAGTACTGAAACAAAAAAGGCACATTCACAGGACAGAATTAAACCTTTCCTGAAAATCTTAAGAATGATCTTGAGCTGTAGAACAAGTATAAGACCACATAAACTAGTATACACCCATGGACAACTATGGAACCTACCTGGATGACTGAAAAGTATTATGATTATATTGTCTAAATAATAAGTGTTTTTAAATTTTTTATTATCATTTTAATGGAACTGGTACCGAGTATTCCTGAGTAATTTTAGTATCCTGACAACACTAGTTTACAGATGAGGAAATGTTTGAAATCGGGCTTCAGAAAACAAGGCTTATTAGCAAACAAATAAATAGCAGACTATTGGTAGAAGCCCTGCCTGTTGAACACTTGTCCCTATTGTCCATACACCGCTCTACTACGCCCAGCTGCCATGTGAGTTTCATTGTTGACTCCGCATTGTGAAACCGCACTACACGTGCCAACAAATGCGCACACACACACAACAATGCACATACACGCACTCACACATGCACACAGCCACACACAAGAAGAGACAAACACAGGGTAGAGCTTCAGGTAGAGACAGCTCTGAGTTACTGAGAAACTCAAGGCGAACCAGAGTTAAATTAAACTTTGTAATAGGCCAAAACAAAATAAAATAAAATAAATATGGTATTGCTCAAAAGTTGTTTTATGATTTGTAAACAAAGTCAGGAGAGGCCATTAATGGTTTGAGGACAAAATGAATCAAGATGTCTGATTCACATGACTGTTGTAGGGGATTTTGTACCATTTTGTTACAGACTGAAAAAATGAAAAACAACTCAAGAAAAGACTAAATAATCTATGCTTCATTCCAGACAATTGTGAAGTATTTTTGGCTTAAAGGTGCACTATGTAACTTTTCGTTGGGGATCTGTTACCTTCTTGTTTCTATGGATATTTCATACTTACTGTGAGCGGGGTGCCTCTTCACAGAATTGACCAGTAACTTTGCCTGGCTTGGTTTCCATGATGATATAAAAGCTTAAGTGCAAGATATAGTAGTAGGAGCAGTTTCAACTGGCAACAATTGCGCTATGGGCACTATTTTTTACTAGCTATGGTTTTTCTTTCCATTCATTAATTCAATTTAAGTTGAACTGTCAGGATTATCATCATTTACATAATAAAATGCCCCCTGCTAACAGCAAAATGGCCTTCTGATGAGAAGAAAATGCTATTGTGGATGGTAGCTTTGCTCAAACCTCCTGGATATGTTTAAATTGTAAACGTTTAACAGAATCTGACTGTTAAAACATAAACATGAAGGCCATTGAAATGCTTGTCAGGAAAATCACAAGATTTTTCATCCTTGTTAAAACCATTGTAAAAAGCTTAGGGCTTTTCTATATTTGTAATTTTTTCAGATATTGGACACACCTCTATTTGACTACTGTGTAAAGTGCTATATGATCCTATCTAATCAGTCTGCCAACCATCACAGCTGAAACCAGAACACCACTCAGTATTGATCGGTGCTCCGGTTTCGTGGCTGTCTCACAGGAGACTGCTACTACTGTTGGAGGTGAGAGCGAGTGTGTGTGCGTGGGTGTGTGTGTGTGTGTGTGTGTGTGTGTGTGTGTGCGTGTGTGTGTGTTTGTGTGCGTGACAAAAATCAGTTGTGAATATTTTATTTCTCAATATCTCCTGCTGCATTAGGTCAGATCAGATTCACAACACGTATCATATGGAGAAAAAAACATTTCTGCAAAGTTCTGAGTCAGGTTTTAAATGTGAAACTGTTATCAGTCATATTCAGTTACTTTATTTTTATGTTTTATATTATATGTCCTGCAATATATGTCTCTAACTAAAATAATTTCCCCTTGGCAATAAATAAGTGATTATGATTCCTATTAGTTCATATGCAAGTACATGTTCACATAACTGCAGCAGCCAAAGTGTAGGCCTCCATAAATGTATGTATCCATTTTTGTGAATGCTTGAAAATATTTGTACCCGTTGCAGTGCAGTTTGTGTCATTTTTCCACCCTTGCACTTTAAACATGTGTTTTAGTTCCATAGCAAAACAATTATAATACATACATTTCTCCAGCAAAGTAAAATGAAGTTCAGGTTTGCGAGACATCACATTCAAACAATGTCTGCCCCTTGTCAATCTCCACCTGCTCCCTCTTTTTGTCCTTTTCACTGGCTCTGAAAAGCTTAGCTAGAAGCACCAGCAAACCCAAACATGGGCTGACACTCAGCCAGTCACACAGACAATAGTAACGCACAGATATATGGCTAAGCACAGTGCACACATACGTAACTCGTGGGTAAGTTTCTCCAGCTTGAGCTGCAGTAAATGGAGTGGAACAGGTTAGCTATAGTCCACCTGAACAAACACGGGCCACACTCGCACATTTGGACTCACAGTGGTCCGTCTGCTCTCAGGACGGGTGGGTTTTAATAGCTATCGATCATTCTCCCCCCGACACACTGGATGCCCTGTTACAGATACAGCTGAAGGCGCACACAGCTCCCAAACACTGAGAGAGGGTGAGGAAAAGCCACCAAAATGTGTCAGAAAGCACATTTACCCTATGCCTTCATGTGTCTGTATGCCGCTCTTTAAACTGAGGCTATTTCATTTACATAATGAGAGCCAGACGCACTCTCACAAATTAAATTAGTTTGAGACAACAAATAAAACGAGCAGCCACAAACAAGTGCCTGTGCGTGCATCGCTTTTACTGGTTTGTGCGAAGCTGTGTCTTTAAAAAGGAAAATAAGGACAGTAGCTGCACTGTGCCACCTTTTCTCAATGATGTCATTGGCCAGTGACTTACGGTGTGCTGAAAGGGTCAAAACCAAGCAGAACCAATCGATATTCCATATGATTGTAACTAATATATCTCAGATGTGATTACTTTGGTAGTTGGTGACGATTAATTGTCGAGGCTAATAAAATCTTGTGAGACTGAGGGTGCCAGAGTGGCTGCTGGGAATCGTGGTTCATTTTATGGGCAAATTAATTAAAACAGAGGCTGAAAAACTGTCAGGCATCAAACAGTCATTGTGAAGGGCAGAACAATGAGAAATCACTCAGAGACTTTGTGCGGCATGTAATAATCAAACCCAATGAACAGTGGCTTTATACAGAACCATAAATCAGAACAGGAGAGCAGCTCTGTCGTAGCACTCTTTTCTTTTACATTAGAAAATTACACCCACTTTATTCTTGTCTATAAGAATGTAATGTAATCTGTTTTTCTTTAAAGTATAGCAATAACTATGCTTTTGAGACTCCAAAGGTTTGATATTATTGACTAGAGGGAGTTTGATAGGCCCTACCAGAAACAGGTCCTTTAGTCGACAAGGGATCTGCTGAATGCACTGTTGTTTTGCAGTTGTCCAGAGAATGATTTGAGTTGGAGGACAAGAAAGTCTAGGTGCCTGACTGCTGCTCTCTGAAGTGGTCCTGAATAAGAGAAGAGAGTTGGATGCAAAATTAGATAAAGAAAAGCTTAAATAAATGTGTTAATTTGTATTGCTAGTTTTTTCCCACATTATTTGTCTAAATTTCAGCAGTGATAATTCATGTTCTTGCAAGCATTTCTCAAATCTGTAGATACACTGGTATCATATTGTACATGTCATACAGATTTGATAAGACACTTTAGAGCAGAACATGCCAAGTGCTGTACGACTGTGCACTTCTTCACCAAAGTCGAGCACATGGACAAACACCACAGATTTGGGTGAGTGGCTAAAACAATGCATTGTCCCCGTTTCCTTAAGGGGGAAATCCTGAGGTCTGGAGAGTCACTGATAGGCTTGAGATGAGAGTGAAGGAATCAAAGAAGAGATAGGACAGGAGGGGAGTGCTTAAGGGATCAAATCACTTTGGGTAGAAGTGAAAGTAAATGTTTGTTTTTTTTCTTGGTCAGTGGAACTGAAAAACATGCACTTTCGATGAAACTAAAATTAAAAAATGTTGTCATATTAAAGTCTTCACCTTACAATAATGTATTTGTGCCGGTGCCATGCTTTGATTAAAAAGTAACTGTGTCCACAAATTCTAACTGTAACAGAAATCAATATGTGATAGCTGTGATTTGTTATGGAAACATAAAAAAATTATAATAATAAGTAAAAAAAAATAAAAAAAATGAATGAATGAATGTAAACCAAAAGCTGTTTTGCTGAAATGTTTAATCCACTATGGGATACAGTATGTTCCAGCTAAATGGCCCATACATCTGCATGGGCCAAGCACATTAGTTTGGCAGAGACTACACTGTGGTTACCACCATGTTTTGACCTCACACATAGAAACCAAAAGAGAAACAGAGCCTTAACTCCATATTGAAACATTCGACAGTGGGTCTAAAAATATAAATGAATGGGCATCCACATTTTATTATATTGTTATGGTATGACAATAGTTTTACTGATCGCCACTCAAAGCTGCATTCAAATGAAGAGCAGCAAAATACTCTTTAATGCAATATATATTAATGAATTGAAATGAGACATAAATAAATAATAATTAACCAAGTGAAATATATATATATATATATATATATATATATATATATATATATATATATATTATATATATATATATATATATATATTATATTTATTTTATATATATATTATATATATATATATATATATATTTTTTTTTTTTTTTTTTTTTTTTTTTAAATCTACATATAAAGGAATCTACTTCACAGCCCAAATAAAACTTAATACAAAAACTAACAAAAAACAAACAAACAGTTAAAGCATATAATACAGGATTAAATACAGGATTATGGTTGAAAGAATTGATTTATAGTTCTTTTGTTCTGGACGCTCCTCCTTGCTGAAGGCACTATCATCATAAGTGGTTAAATCAAAATGTTCAAGATCAGCTAAGTCAACCAATTATATCATATTACATCCCACACTATTGATCTTGTGATTTTGACATATACAACAGTGCATAAAGCCAACATTAGCTGTCATAAAAAGTCAGGCTGTGTTAGTGTTTTATGATCTGGTTCATCTCTTTAGGGGCCTCCTCAAGCAGACCAGCGCCAGGGGACTGATTTACTCGTCACACAGAGAAGACATTTTTAGAGGTGGTGCAGTGGGGATGCCGGGCCGTAAAGCTGAAGGGGCAAAAAGTGGCCCAGACGGAGGCAGTGAGCAGAACTGGAGAAGACGTAAGATACACCCGTTAACCTTCTGCAATTAGACCAGCAGTGATTTCTGACCATGGGGCAGGGGACAATGGACTGCACTACACAAATTACTAAGCCTGACAAGAAAGGGAAAAATCACTCAGAGGAGCAGAAATGTTCAGACATTTTGGTGAGATAGTATGTCTGACAAAGTTTCTTAGGTTTCCTGGCTATCAGCCTTTGATAGCCAGACATGGGGGACAAATAATTAAAAGGTGATGAATATGTGACATAGGCATTTCTATGCTGATTTTTTTTTTCTAACCATGAGAAGTCTGAAAATGTCACACTATAAAGGGTTGAATTTCCTTGACCACTTATAGATCCATAAAGAACATTATAATGATATAATGTTGCACATTGTGTAACAGTTTGGTTGTTTTCCTTAATCTTACTGCGTAAAGAGTTTACTAAAGCATAATAACTGTTTAGTCCTATGACTATAATTGTGCTGGTGAGAGAAAGCAGATGTTTTGAGCCCAGCTGTTCGCTTCTGAGGGGCAGCGAGGAGAAAAAGAGACCCCGCTGGAGCTCGCGTCCTCACACAGGCTGTCCCACCACTGACAGTAAAGCGCGTAACCAGATATTCAAAAACAATACGTCATCCCACAATGCACCGCGCGACGCTCTCCTTTCACCATTACGTCATCCCACAATGCACCGCGAGACTCAGAATCTTCTGGTGGTCGTCAAGGCAACGCGCCTTATCTGACGTCCGAGCTCCGCCCGTGGACACGCCCTCCAGCCAATGAGAGCGCCGTCATGACATCATGGCTATTTTTGGAGAGGCAGCGGCCGCAGATAAGGTACGCTCCACGCTGTAAGCGCTCAGTGTATACACTTGAGCCAGAGAGAGCACCACAGAGACAAGGTGTCTGTAGAGAAGTCACTAAGGAAAACTCGGGATACTTTGGCTTTTGAACTGATAGCGACAAACGTCTCCCGCTGAAAGAAGTAAGTCAGTCTTTCTGTATCGGAAAAAGCTCGCTTTCAAAGTTTGGAAGTTTTACCAACTAAGAGGACGCTCGGAAACTTCATCTGAAAACTAAGAAGACTCGAAAAGTTCTCTATAAGACTTTTATTGGCAATTCATTTTTGTTTTTTTCTATGTATAACAAGATGGAAACTACTTTTTATGACGACTCACTCAACGCTTTCTCCCAGCTCGACAGCTCGGGCTACGGATACAACAACCCCAAAGCTCTGAAACACAACATGACACTGAACCTGTCGGACCCGACTGGCACCTCTCTGAAGCCGCACCTCCGGGCCAAAGCCAGCGACATCCTCACTTCTCCGGACGTGGGTTTACTCAAGCTGGCCTCCCCAGAGCTGGAGCGACTTATTATCCAGTCCAGCAACGGACTCATCACAACCACACCGACCCCGACGCAGTTCATCTGCCCCAAGAATGTGACGGACGAGCAGGAGGGCTTCGCCGAGGGGTTTGTGCGCGCCTTGGCTGAGCTTCACCACCAGCACATGCCCGCTCACACTAACGTGACCTCCGCCCAGGCCACTGTCAACAATGCACTGCCACCGGTTTCCTCTGTGGCTGGCGCCACGTACAATAATAACTCTGCCATGCGCTCCGACTCTCCCGTCTACGAGGACTTGAACACGTTTAACCCGGCCATTAGCACCGTATCGGCGCCCAACTATACCACCTCGGCCCCGACCATGTCCTTCTCCACTGCTCCGCCTCAGCTTCCCATGTACGGACAGCCCTCCTCCGGACAGCTGCCGAGGATCACTGCGCTCAAAGAGGAGCCCCAGACCGTGCCTGAGATGCCCGGGGAGACCCCCCCTCTTTCCCCGATTGACATGGAGAGTCAGGAGCGCATTAAGGCCGAGAGGAAGCGCATGAGGAACCGTATCGCTGCTTCCAAGTGCCGGAAAAGGAAGCTGGAGAGGATTTCACGACTGGAGGACAAAGTGAAGACACTCAAGTCGCAGAACTCCGAGCTGGCGTCCACGGCCAACATGCTCCGGGAGCAAGTGGCGCAGCTCAAACAGAAAGTGATGAACCACGTGAACAGCGGCTGCCAGCTCATGTTGACGCAGCAGCTCCAGACCTTCTGAGCCGCAGGACACTAGTGGACACTGTAGTTGATCCAAACGCTTCCTGAGATAGTGAGAGGCACTTCTCCCGATGGGACGATGTGGCGTGACACTGGCAGGACCGGGGCTCGCACTTTAAGTTCAGTGAGTGCACGCGCACTCCAGGGGTGCGTCCCAGAGAGGGGCCCGGGACAGTGACAGTACCCATGCACCAGAGGGGCATGGGGACAAGCAGGATACTCTTCTGTTTCTGTTTCGCGCCAAACTGGACAGAGTTTTACTTTATTTGACCAAGTCCTCCTGCATGGACCTTGACCATCATGGACTTCAGTATTAGAGGATTTAAGATCCCTCAAAGAGACTCTTATAGCCATATTGGCCTCAGCCCAGTCCGGCTGTGATGTCAAGTTTAACAGCTGAAAAGTTGCATTTAAGCTGCCTGACTTCTGATTTACAGTACAATGTACTTTTTCTTAATTGTAAGAAATTAAGTTAGAAAGTTTCAAGATTTACTTGTTTTTTTCTTAACTTCTTTAATGGGGTTTCACTCATTGTTATATGTATATATAAGATCAACTTGGAGTACTTATGTTTACCATTTGTAACAAAATCTGTATAATTTTTTTTATGTTTTTCTGAGCACTTCAGAAACCTATTGATATTTAAGGAAATAAATGACAGAAAATTAAGCAACTTGCCTGTGTGTTTTTGTGTGACAGTAAAGTGGGTGTGCCCTCCCTGTCAAAATCTCATACAATTAAACATGTTGCAACACGTTTTAAGAACTGCGTTCCCAATACCTTCAGGTAAATTCCATTAGTGCCTCCATCGAACCAGTTCAATGATAGTTTGAAGTGAAGGCAAAGCTTGATATGGGGAGGCTGCTGCAGCATAAAATAACGATGTCACAACTTTGTTGTGAATAAGTTTCATACACTTATTATAAGCATATTATAATACAAAGCCCAGTCCAATAAAAGAAAAACAAAACCGACACTGGTAAATCAATCACAAAGACCAATGTGTACACAGAAGGCTACAGCATGCCGAGTATCAGGATCACGAGTATAGTATGAAATAGGCTAATTAGTGGGCGTATAGCATTAAATGTTGTAGAATAGTGGCAACTTATGGATGATGATGAACAAAATTATAAATAAATAGTAGGCCCGTCATAATTACTATATCGACTTATCATTCAATATATGACAGATGGAACAATACATTTTGGGGGTCAATATTTATCATGGGTCTTGTTCTTAATGGTAGTGGGGAACATTTGGTTATTTTTGAATAAATAAGGTCTTTGACTTATAGATACATATAAACAAATATATTTAAGTAATTCTTCTTTTTTTTTTATTGCAGTTTGTGTTTTTAAATCATATTATATATTTTGGGGGTGGGGTGTAATCCTTCGTTAGGCTTATTGAGTCAGTGGCATAAATTAGTTTGAATATTATCGTTTATCCTCTAGGCTATTTTCTTAAGCAATGTACTGAACTTTAAAACGTGTTATTGTGAGAGGCTTAATAAATAATTCATATTTAAAAACGTAAAGAGAATGTGTAATTTAGGCTACAGTTTTAATCAATCCACATTCTTTATTTTAGGAAAATACTTCGATTACAACCGCCATGCAAGTTGGTAGACTATAAAGGGTCATGTCGTAAACTGAACACTAGAGGGAGACATAGACAAGCGCTTTCTATCCCATGTGCTGAAGTGACGTGACATGATATGACACGCGAGTGAGTTCAGAGCATGGATCTTTGGTTTAGAGCCGCAGAGCTCATAAATGATCTGCAGTGGACCTTTAAACATTAATGTCGTTATAACTTTATAAAGGCAAATTAATTATAAACACACACACACAGCGAACAATTCAAAGCCTACTTGTGATGGCCCATTTCAACTTATAAAATACATTTAGATAAGAATAGAATGCTTAAAATAAAATGTGGCTTATGAGTCGCTTAACTCACTTTTTGAAACGACTTAATGAAATTACTAAATGAAATGGAAAAATAAAATCAGATGTTTTGTAGTTATTATTTATGAGGCAAACAATAATTAACATGCATTGTTACTGAGTCTACTTAGTGCCGGACATTTTTAATTAGGCTGCTTTGATTTGAATGCTGAAAAATTGGGACGTCATGACATCATTCCGGAAAGCGGTGCCCCTCTTGCCATATAAGGACAGGGCAAACTCGGAAGATATACGTCACAGCCCAGGGGCGTGGTTTACGGGAATTGAGGCGACGCTGCGACAAAAGAGCAAATCCTGTTTAAGTTATTAAAGGAATCTCAACTATCCCACGGTGACAAAGATGCGCATACAATTAACCAATTAAGAGTCAACTGCCATTCACGAATTAAAAAAATAGCCCAAAAATAATATTTTTGAGATTTCAATACACTTATATAATACACTTATTTTAAGGCTGAGTGTCTTATCAAATAAATTCACAATGATCAGTATCAGAATGTGTGAGCAATAAAGGCTGAATATCCAAAAAAACAATGTAATCATGCATTTTTCAGCACAGTTGCTGTTATAACAAGATTTTAATGCAGCAGCAAAAACAGGTCCCACAGTGGGGCTGCAGTTGCTCTAGCAAATGCTTCAGTTCTGAACTGAAGAAGCAGCTTGGATGAGCTGCAAAGTGTATTTGATCAAAAAACTTTTGTCCAGTTGACACTGAATTGAATTTCTACTTTGCCATGGATTCTACCTGGGTGACTGAAGGATTTTACAAACATCTAGTGAAAGCTGCTGTTGTGTCCATACAAAACACTTTCCACCTTGCCTATCATGGCCGGATGACCATTTGGAGATTGGTGATTTGTCAGCGAGAACCATAACACGTGTGTTTGAATTTCTGTAACAATGCAAGGATCAGGTTTAGGAAGTGCAGTTGCCTGGAGGTTCACTTGGTAATAAGCATAAATCAAAACACAGAAGACACAAGAAGTACAGTTGGACCTTTTGAGGAAGACTGATCATTTTAAAATGATTACAACGTTTCAAAATCTTCAAAAAGCTGCTCACCATGGTGCCAATCCTTATGCCATCAATGTTCTCCAGACCAAGAGGAAGGATCTAATTTATGGGATTTTGAACACAGCTGACCTGCTTGGTCACACTGTTAGAGAAGGCATTCTTACATCAAAGAAGAAATCGATTATTTTAGCAATGAGAACTCGGCATGAACAAAACTCAAGGATTTTAGACGTAATTGAAGCAAATGGTGAACGGGCCTGTCGCAAGTTTATTCATCCATGTCTAATGAGGGCAGAACCAGAGCTATATTACCAAATCTGTGAATATGTAATGACTGTGTATGAGCATATTCGAGACGCACGGAGGCAGCTGATTGGATATTTACTAGAGCAGGACCAGGAAATAATACATGAAGTTATGAAGAGACCAGTCAATCAAAGGAATAATGCTGTGCTTGTTTTGAAAGAAAGCAGTTTCAAGAAAGAAAACAAGGTGCCACAACTGGAACTCGCTATAACCAAACCAGTAAAACCTGTTGATTTAGAAGTGATTGGAAAAACAGAAGAAATAACAAATGATGACACGTACACTTTTGATGCCAAGACACAAACCAGTGCAGAGCTAATTATCCAACCAGAAGCTGAAAACCTGGGGACTACTAGAAGTACTGAGGCAATGGAGGAACAGACTTTGACACAAGATACTGCAGAAAATACAGTTAAAGATACCATGAACCTCCACAGAGCTGCTCAGGACGGTGACTGGTATCAAGTGGAGCGTTTGGTTGAAAATGGGGCACAGATTGAAGCTAGAGATTGTCAGAATAAAACTGCATTATTTTATGCAGTTGCAGAAGGCCATGAAAATGCTGTCATTGCTCTTCTAAAAGCTGGGGCAAAGATAGATTATGAGATTATAAATGAAGCAACAAAGCACAGTTCAGTCTTAAAGATGCTTTTTGGTGAGTATTTTGGTGTTGGTAATATTTTAAAGTCAGCATTTAATATGTGATGTGTGAGATGTGCAGTATTTTTCTAGGGCTTTTTAGATCATGTTTAGATGTGGTTTAGCACTTGTTTTAAAATAGATAATGTAAAGGAAGTAGATAGCATGGGCACAGGCAGGTGTAGGTCTTGTGCAAGAGGCAGCAAAGAACTCAGATTGATGTTTATTTGGTTGGAACATCAATTAACATTTCCTCCGGTATTTGCAGCCTTGAACTCAGATCTGTTATTATTTATTTGAGTTGTTTTTGAAGTAGGCAAAATATGCTAAATATGTTACAATCAAATCTGAAATCTGGTCAGAATTAGCAAGTTGTAATGGGTGCATTTTTGGTGATATAATGTATGAAACCTAACATGAAATAATCCTCTGGGAGTTTATGTTTAAAAACGACTAATTCTGTGGGGTGAATGTGTTTTAAAAATGAGCGCAAAGTGAACTGAATCTATTTTTTTAATACATTGTCATTTCATTTTTACCAGATAACACCAGAGAAGCAGTGAGTGAGGAGGACCTAAACTCTGCAGTCTTCTCCACCGTGAGACAGAACAAAGACAAAACCCTCTTAACACTAATTGATAATGGAGGAAATGTAAACATCTTGGACAACCAAGGATACACTCCCCTTCTACTATCTGCAGAGATGGGGCATTCAGAAGCCTTCAGGTTAATGCTGGAAAAACTCATTAACCTCTTTTATGCACATTAAAACAGTAGGAAATGTAGCCATGAGTAAAAGGAAATCACTGTTTGTATAGTTGTATGCATGAGACAGGTGGTAATAAAGTTATAAGTGGGGTTAAAATTATATTCTTCTCTGTTTAATCTAGAGTCCTATTAGAGAAACAGGCCAATCCAGAGGCTTTACTTTCCGATCATTTGTCAGTCTTGCATTTGGCTGCAAAGAGTGGTAGTGTGCCCATAGTGGAGGAGCTTCTAAAAAAGGGAGTGAACCTGGACACTATTGGCCCTAAAGCACAGACTCCTTTGCATCTGGCAGCAATGTTACCCAGCTCGGACATTGTTCAACTTTTGCTGGCAGCTGGAGCTCAAGTAATTGATATCAGGTAATTTATAGTACAGAACTCTACATATTCTTTTAATTAACAAGGCTTCATTGTCATTTTAGATTAATTCAGCAGCCCAGGATGGAGTCACGCCACTGCATGTAGCCAGTCAACATGGAAATGAAGATATAACAGCATATCTTCTAAAAAATAAGGCTAAAATTGAGGCAGAGGACAAGCTCGGGAGAACTGCTCTGCACTGGGCGGCTATAGCTCCAAAAGAAAGCAACATAGTGAGCATGTTGCTATCATTTAAGGTTAATGTAAATGCTCTTGATAATGAAAAGAGAAGTGCCTTACATCTCGCAGCAACTGAGGGAAAACTTCAAAATGTGACTTCATTGTTGTCCCACAAAGCCAAGGCAGGGGCTAAAGACAAGAACGGCTGTACACCTATGCACTACGCAGCAGCTGGAGGCCATGTCAGCATCGTTTCAGCTCTCTTACAGTCACTGAAAAAGAAAAACATAGATGAGAGGAATATATGGAAGAAAACACCACTACACATTGCAGCGGAGAAAGGCCATGACAATGTAATTACGCTGCTTCTAGAGGCTGGTGCAAAGATCAACTCCACAGACCAAAATAAAGACACCCCATTACACTGCGCAGTGCGAGGTGGGCATCAGGAAGCAGTGAAGAGGCTGGTGGAATGGGGACAGGGCAGCAGTCGTATGAAGAAAGCTGATCTCCAGGCAATAAACAGTGTGGGGAAGACAGTACTGCAGCTAGCACAGAATGGAGGCACACCAGAGCATGAGAACATTGCAACTTTATTGAAGAGAAAGATGTTTTTAGTGAAGTAGTGAATTATGTAAATTGATTCACTGATATATTAGATAAGATAGCTGGAGTAGATTTGCTAACACTTACTTAATCTTTGAGTCTATGCTTTGGAAATGCCAAAATCTGTGCATTATTTGACATCTTCTCTGTTCAGTTCCAATACATATATCTTTGTAAATACCAGCACACAACAAACACAAAACACATTTGATTGTACGAGTGAAAGACATTTGCCTTCAGTTATGAAAAAAAAAAAAAAAAAAAAAAAAAACCATAAAGCCACAAAATTGTTCACTGTTAATAAAGCAACGCAAACTAAGTTTAAACAACGTTGCTTTACTCACATGTTTGTTGAGATCCACGCTCGCGCCTGTCTGGTCTCACGTGACGGTGACTGCTCCACGGTCACGTGGTTTTGTTTTGCTCTCGGTTTCGTGTAGCTCGTGTTTGTGGCTAACGCACTGAAGTATTAAAGTTCAATATGGCAAGAAACGAAGAGAAACAACAAGGACGGCTAAACAGACTGTGGCTTCAGAAGGAACGAGAAGGTAAAGACTATCTAGTACTGTGGACCTTTGTTTGCTCTGATGCTCTGAGAAGTGAGAATGCTAATTGCTAACAATCTATGCTAACCCTGTGCTAGTAGCCTCTTCCTCATAGAAATACATGCCTCTTCACTTTCCATTTTGATTTTGACAATTTAATCTTTTTTTCAGCATTGCTTATATAAACGTGTAACAAATGAATAGATACCGATAATTATAACACATCAAACTACAGTCACACTTATTTTCTATAGCTTATACCCTTTGTTTGCTCTCCAGCCATTTGTCTTATTAATTAAACATTTATATGCTTTAAGAGGGGCGACTCAAAGATGCACGAGAGACAAGACCTAAACTGGTAATAAAATGTCTATTTATAGAAGGTTTAAATTGAGACTAAACATTTATTTCACATCATCTGTTTTGTTTTCTCACCTTCTCAACAGTATACCCTTAACACTGCCACTGCAGTGAAAAAGTGGATTCCCAGTATAAAGAATGAAATAGAATATAACTTGCAGGTAACAGTTACAGTACACGTATTTACTTAATTATGTGAACTAACTGTACTGATAAAGATGTGTGGTTGTTGTTTACATTCCAGCAGTCCCAGTTGACTCACTATCCAGAAAGGAAGATTGCAGAGTTTCATCTTAAAATTGAAGCTTTGGAAAAAGAATATAAAAGTTTTATTACCAAACTGCGTGTTCTTGACCCATCGTGTAAGCACCAGCCCTGGACACCTCGAGCCTACTGCAAAAGACGAGCTGACCTGCAGGATTCACACTGCACTGGTCAGTGCATTTTCATGTTTCTTACCAGTTTTACCAAGTTCAACAATAAAACACTGCACATATTTTATGTGCATAAAATTATGAGACAGACAGATAGACTTAATCCTGAAGGAAATTCAGTTTTCCAGTTGAAATACATTACAGACATACCAACAGATATTTAAAATTGAGATTTACAATAGGCATTAAAAATACTCATACGTGAAAACCATAAATAGGGCTGTGCAATGATAAATACAAATACAATACAGTCAGTAAATGACTTCACTCCTGATCACCTGCTCCCCTACATGAGCATTATAAAGTCGAACAGCACTGGGTAAAAAAGACCTCGTGAGCCAATCTGTGGAGCAGTAGAGTGAGAGCTGCCTTTTACTGAAGGAGCTCTTCTGTTTCAGCACAACTCATGGAGAGGGTGACTGCTGTTGTCCAGAACAGCAGCTCAGCTAATGTCCCCCTTTCCCGTAGTAGCCTGTTGTACTTTTTATTCCTTTACACTTCTCCCTAACAGAGGCAGGTGATCAATAACAGAAAGAGAACAATCATGTCATTCATTGATAAAACAGCTATGAGTTTTTCATAAACTCACTCATATGTTTTTCATAACCTTCTTTATCTCTTTGATTTTCAGTTAAAAAGCCACATGCAACGTTTATTGAAGGATGTGGGGAAATAAATGGAGACAACAACAGAGGGACAAGTTGTACAGGACATCTAAAGACATTTACAGCAGAGGCACTTCTGAACACCTCAGAAACCAGGACAATAGACCAGGCTCCACCTAATTTGGACAGCTCAGACCAGGATTTACCTCTTTCTTTTGACCAGTCACGGCTCGCAGTGGCTGTGGCTTCATTTAGGGGACCATCTGCTGCTTTGGAGTTGACTGAAACAAACAATCTTGCCAGAGTTTTGCAAGCAAGTCTGCCGAATTTAGGTAATTCTGCAGGGACGTCCTCCAAACACCAAAACCTAACAGATAAGAATCAAAGACTGAAAGAATCCACAACATCCGATGAGTGCAGATATCCTGTGTGTGTAAAAGCGAGACCAACGTGTGCCACACAGGGGGGGTATCTACTGGGGCTTGACTGTTACTCCTCTTCAGATGAAGAAGACAATCCAGGATAACCCAAGTCAATAATGTCACAGTCAGTGATGCAAATACACACACACACGCACAAACATGCACACAGAACCATGTCCTGATGGTCCACTTCAGCCTGAAGGTAGCACCTAAAAGCACACTTTGTAACAGTATGTTTTGGTGAAATTGGGACAATAAAATATGCAAGGGTCATGAAGAAATGTTCTGAGATTATTTCATTTTATATATAAGACACTGTGTTTAATCATTTAGTGAATTTAAAATACAACCAATATATAAAAAATATAATACGTAGAGTATAATAAATAGAGTTAGGTTGGTCATGGTTTAGTAAGTTTTTATTTTGACAGTTTGACTAGTAAATAAAGGTATGCAGATTTGTATTTATTTATTTATTTTGTTTTATTTAACAGAACATATAGTGGCTAAATTACCCCAATAACAAGACAAAGCATTTATAAAATTTTGCATCCTTTTCTCAAATCGTGAACGTATAATTTAGAATAGTGTGTTATAGTGTAAGATACCCACCCTATGGTTAAAGTTCCAAACTTCTCTGCATTAAAAGTAATAAAATACAACAGAGTTTGTCAGTAGAATTTATAACATCCAGCAGAAATTTACATAATGGCAGTTTTCCATTTTGAAGTAATAAAACCAACGAGAAATCTGCAGTGTTAAGAAATGTAGCCATAAAGAAACTCAATGAATGTGGCTTTGACCACATTATACAGACAAACCTAGAAAACGACCCCAGGTAAGATAGTTATCTCCCACTCTGATTCATTTTAGCCACGAATTCATCATTCGTTGGTAGTTTGCGCTGGTTAGCCCCACACCCTCAGCCCACTCTGCACTACTGCAGGACAGCCCTAAGCACGACACTTCGGGGAAACAGAAACATCGAGTGATGCAGGTGATTTCTATGGTTTGGTTTGTTGCACTAAACCTGTGACACTGATGTACTTAGTTTTCTCTTGTTCTCAGAGTGGGTCTGGAAAAACTGGGTAACACTTCATTATAACTGACATAAGTCTTGACTAAAAAATTCTACTACTCAAAGATTTTAAGCACACGATTTTCATTAGAATAGAGCAAGTAATGCATAACTGGCTCCTGTATACCAATACAAATTTAACAAGGCTATATTAAAACATGTTTTTATAGAAGTTAGAAAAGTATTAGTGTGTTTTAAAAATGTTTGTCTTTGCATTAAAAAAAAAAAATCCTGATTTGGTTTTCACAAACTAGTCCTAAAATTTATGCTTTAACTTAACTCAAAATGTCATAACCATCGATCAAATATGGTAATGTATTTTTTATATAATGTTGTACTTTAGATTGCTACAGAAAGTCAGTGCACATCTCAAACTCCCACCTATGTGGTTACACCAATGCCCTTTAACAAAAACCACTAGACTTGCAGGATTGTTAACTAATATTTTCTCTGTTTAACTCGAATGTTAAATGGCATACAGTGGAAAATGATCCAGCCACAGTCTTTAGAACAGTTAGGTGCAGTAAGAGTTAAGATATTTTAAGTTGATGAAATCGTGAATGGGGAGGTTTCCAGTAAGCTCTTTGCTCACGTATAGGTTGGGGTTAATGCTCACCACTTGCCAAGTATCACTCCTGCTGATCTGTCTTTGCAAGCTGAAACATAAATGCTTTTCATGTGGCAGCAATATCTTCCCACCAAAAGTACTTTTGTCTGCTACTGAAACTGCTGTATCATTATTTACTAACACTTAAATTGTGAGTTACTGTGATAAATACACAGATGTGCAATCAGATTTGGCATAAGATTCTGACAAGTAATTGACCCAGTCTACTCAAACAGTATGACCAGTGTTAGGAGTTATATTGTGTTAGGAATTAAACTGTGTCACATTTATGATCTGTATGTCTCTTGTAGCCAAAGTTCAGTTTTGGGGCAAAATGTTTTAGAATTTCTGTTTGTGGTCAGTGGAAGTCTCTCACTTCCTCATTCAGACCTACATTTTCTGTGCATCAAAGCTCTTCACCGAAAATGTTGAGCACTTTTAAATTAAGTAGTAACTGTTAATTAATACATTTGTAATGAATACATTTTTGCACAGATTTACATGTTTTCTGCCAGCAAAGCAGACTACTATGATAGGGTAGGATAAAATAGAAACTGAAAAGAGAAATAAACATTAATTTAATGTTGAAGTAATGCTTTTGAATTGCAACTTTTCAACTAATATTTTATAATCTAATGTGAGATAATTGTTTATCAAAGTTAAGATCTTTGGTCATACATGGGAGGGGCATGGGGGAGGTGGCCAACATGATGACAAATTCTTTAAGACAGGCAGAGGCTCATACTACACACTTCTTGCATCCAGATGCTTCACAGGCACCACTTCTCTGATCTGCTCTCCATCAGACCTGCACCATGAGCTCTCAACACTCCTATGACCAAACCATCCCATACCCACAGGTGTTCATTGTGGATGGTGGGGGGCATCCTAGCCCACATGGCGCTCCTCCAAAGCTGATACCCTGCTGGTCCTTCCCTCAAGCTCATGAAACAGTGAGGAGACCTGCGAGAAGTCGTGGCTGTATGGGGGTCAGCTCCAGACTGGTCTGGGTGGTACTACTGTTGTTTGCACTGGTGTTTGCAAGCCTGGGGCTAGGAGTTGTGTGGACCGTGAACTTGCAAAAACAGTTGAAAGACATGAAAAAGGTAAGGGAGGAGGGAATTTAATGTACTTTATGTGATGTAAGGTTGTTTATACTTTGTGCAAGGCTTTGAAACCAAAAATATATGCATCAGACTGAAGGTGTATGGTGGTAGGAGTAGGTAAGTATATCAATTTTTTTGTAGTATCGGAAAGTTATGCACACCTTTGCATAATTCTGATCTAATTTGCACACTGACATTCAGAAATGAAAGAGATGACAGAAATGTTCCACCAGCGGCCACAAGTCCACTACCACAGGAAGTTTTTTTTTTTTTTTTTTGAAGATTGGTCTGATGAAAACCAAACCTACATGTCTGTAGAGTTGTCTGTACTCATGCAAACGTTTGTGTTTTAGATGGTCCAAGGGCTGAACAGAAGCACAGAGAACATGATCAATGCACCACAGATGCAAATAGGTAAGAAGGTCTGGTTTTAAACTTAGATGATGATGATTATTATTATTATTATTATTATTATTATTATTATTATTATTATAACCCATATGTGCTTTAGGCTTGAATGAGCCTCCACTGAAAGAAGATAAAAAAGTGGATGAAGAGAGACCAGCAGCTCATGTTATTTGTAAGGCTGTAAAATGAATCTGTAATCTGCACTAACTTCCATATCTGTCATACATATCAGTGACACTGATACATTTTATAATGTTTCAGGGGATCATAAAAACGGTGCCATCCAAAAGACATTAAGATGGGATCCAAATGTGGGCCGGGCGTTCACCACTGGAGGAGTGTCCTACAGAGAGGAGGATAGTGCTCTGCAGGTGAATCAAACAGGACTGTATTACATTTACTCCAGAGTGGAGCTTCTCTTCGGAACCTGCTTCTCCACATTCTTCTTTGAGCACACTGTGTTTGTGAGGAGATCCAGCCGCAATTCACCTTTGACCCTAATGAAGGCCCACAGAAAGGGTTTCTGCCCCTCAAAACAGGGGGCTTGGAACACTGACAGCTTCCTTGGCTCTGCTTTACAGCTGCAAAAGGATGACAGAGTATTAGTGAATGTGTCAGACCCACATTTACTTAGTCATGAACATTATACCAACTTCTTTGGACTCTACAAGATCTGATGGTCAGCTTCAAGAGTGATCATTTAATTAATTAATGACTTTAGGATGGACAGATTTCTGTGAAATAAAGGAGAGTAGAGTCTGGAGAAAATTAATATATATGTTGTATACATTTAAAAATGGAAATTGAGAGTTAGATTTGTTTGTAAACACTAATAATATTGTAGCATATTATATTTATTTTGCAAATGTTTCTGTGCTATAATCTTATTTAAAACTTCTTTAGCCGTCCCTCGTTTTATTTCATGTTCTGTTGTTTTTGTTACATCTAGAGTTGTCACAAAATGAAATGTGTTACAAAACAAATCTGTAAATGCCAAAAACGTTTGGCTTTTATTATTTACAGCTTCCACAGTTGCACATCTTAATCAGCACATTTTTGTAGATTAGGGGTTTCAAGATTGGTGTGCAACCCACATGAATACTGACTGTTCCTGTGTAGCGCTGCTCTTCTCGTCACCTCAGGTGCAGCTGGGCATGGAGCCACAGAGCCACACGGAGCCGCAGGGAGCCACAGAGCCACACAGAGGGCCCCGAGCTCTGGCTATGACGTGCTCTTCCTTCCTGTGTGAACATTCAGGGGTCCTGGAAAGCAACGTTCTCTTTCAACTTCACTTTTGATCTGAAGAAAGGTCCTGCAAATGCACAGAAGGACTGGCAATCAGAATGAATAAATTAGGATTTATATATTTTTTAACCCTTGTAACAGTTTTCATTGTTTTTCATAATTTTTCATATTCAAGATATGATTTTTGTTATAAACCTTTTTCAGATTTGCTATGCCAGTGTAGGCTTACTGTTTGTGGGTCACCAATTGCCTTTTAAGTCCAGAATGATATCTCTGTGTTTTGTATACAGTAAAGTAATGGAGAAGTCTGTATTATGGATCTCAGGTAAGGGCACCAACAGTATTGGGAACGCATTTACACCACTCCTTTGGACTCTTTTTGATTATTATTCAGACTTATTCAAACTTTTTTGTTGGCCTAAATGTGTTTACAGAGGCTCCCTTCCACCAAACAACATCATATATCAGGGAAATAAAAGTCATGATTTCTTGTTAATTAAGTCTGCAGCTCCTCCACAACCCCTCAATAAGAATTTGAACTTTAACCTAAAACATTTAAAAAATGTATTAAGTTAGTTGTAAAAGGCATCTAGCATCTAGTGGAGTTATTTGAAAATACAAGGTCTGGTCAGCCAATCTAATATCAAATGGTAGAATTAAAGCTCCCAGGACCATGGAGCACAGGTGAGGGGATGGGGGAGGAGAGAACAGGTTTCACATCTGCCATCTACTGGTAACTTTAAGTACATTTTTACAATCTGAGAAGTGCATTTCTTTCAGCAGTGTATTTATTTGGTTTTCATTATAAACCTTAATAAAATACATAAACACAAAAAAGTAACACAAGTAAAGTCCCACACATTGCCCCCTTAACAACATGGAAATTCAAATAATAATATCTAGAGTTATAAATTAAAGAAAAATAATAGCAATAAATCAAGTAGCAAACGTGCTTTTCATATGATCCACCTTACCCCCACATCTGCCACACACACATGCTGAAATACATAAAACTACATATAGTGGGGCTGAATACATGTAAACCACTTGAGAAGTAAATAAAAAATACTGCCATTGTGTATATTACCACTGCATGCATGTGCAGAAATACACCAAGGAATTATCCAAACAGCCACATATGAAAAGAATGCACAAGTTTATACCACCACATTATTCAGTTATAGATTTACTTTACTTTACTTATTTGATGAATGTGTCAAGTCTGCCCTTCCTACAAAATGGTCCCCAAATATGACAAAACATTTGCACTTTATTTCTAACTGTAGGCAATATGTGATCCCTTAAAGTGGAAGAGATGTTTATCCACTGACCTGTACTCAGCCCTGACTTGTCTTGCCAGTCAGACACTCTTACAATCACTCTTTTTGCTAACAGAATGCTCAGTTCTAAAAATGATTTCTCCTTTTGATTCCAATTGTTGTTTTGTTCTAACTTCTATGGTAGCTTGTCTATACTTACCTTACCTAAATTTAAGATCAAGTTCTGTTGTAGTTGCCAAAAACATCATCCCAAACAGTTGAATCTGTGGGCATTTCCATAAGCAATGAAGTAATGTGCTCCTAGTAGCACATTTGAAGCATAGATCCTTGTTGAACTTGTTACGTTAAACAGGTTTGAGGTAAATTATCATTCATTTAAAGTGTAACATTCTGTTTATTGTGAGTGGCTGTGATCTGGTGCATATTGATTTCCATTCCACCACTGAAGTTACATCTTTAAGATCAGAGAGTTTTGAGATTAGACCTTTTTTCCCCCAATAATTCATAGTGACATGTTTTTTGTTGTTTTTTTTTTTCCAATGAAATTCCATGTCTGTGCTGTACTGAGGCCACACTACCAGCTCAGTACAGCAGACGTCTCGTTTTGCTCCTTACTAATAACATTTCTTATTTGTAAGTATTTGATTTGCAGGGAACATCATAACTTTCAACAATTTCCTTAAAGGAGGCAATTGTTTCCTCATCGTACAAACTTTAAATTTTGTCCAGCCCTTTAAGAGCCCAGAGTTAGAATCTTTCATCATTTTGCTAGATTGGACTAAATATTGATTAAGAGTTATCTTTCCCAGAGTACTTTTCCACTTGATTTCAGATCATTGATCACTTCAGATGACTATCATTTCTCTTGGTTACTACAGGTTTACTAAGTTCTGGTTGGATCCTGGTTTAGTTTTTGTTTAAATCTGCTTTAGACCTGGTTAAATTCTGGGATAGTCTTGGTTCAGACCCAGATGCTGGTTCGATAGGCCACTGCATTGGCAATTTGGCAGATAAATATTTTATTTTATCATCAAATATAGCAGTTATTATTGAAACAGATCTAGTCTTGGGGATATTTTGTGTGACCCCAAATAGTGTTCAAAATCTGGCCATGGAGAAAATGAATAACCCTGCATTAGTCTTCGATTTCCTGGCGTAGGGCTGGTGACCTATCTAGATCGCTATCAGTAGGGTTTCAAAGAGTTTTCTTGTTTTCGTTGTTGCACATTAGGTTAGATTTGCCCGAGTGTTAAACCAGAGCATGTAGTCACACTTGTTTCATCCCTGTCTCTCGAGCCAAACTTAGACATTTAAAATATTGTGATTCATATGTGAAATGTACAATAAAACCCAAAGAACATGAAAATGAAAATCTCCATCTGGTTTCAAACTAACACAACTACAAACTCATTGGCTAACACATACGCAGAACAAATATGGGAAGAAAGCCAAAGTCAAAAGAACAGAAAAAGGTTTTCTGTGATCCATGCTTCAGCTTTTGTCAAGTTGGACATTGGCTTGAAGGTGTATCTCTCTCTTTACAATTGTCTCACAAGATTCCATTTTATGTAATATAGGACCTATAG